GAAGCTATTTCAGGCTGGCCTCATAAATATTAACTATTTTCCTCTTCAGGTTTTGAAAGGTTCCTGGAAGATGCTGATTGTAGCTAGGACATTTCTCTGCTAACCAATCAAAACGGGTAACAAGGACTACCAAGCTGGTGGCTAGAAACAGCCCCTGCTCTCAGCCAAACGGAGATCAAGCAGTGGGGACAGGCATAGATGGCCTGGAAGCTGAGTATTGTACTGACTGACACCTGATTACCAGCTGACAGCATGACTCACTGCTGTGACTCAGACCTGCAAACCCATCATGGATGTGTGAAGACTGCAAATTCCTCAGGGAGAGAATGCCCCAAACTCCCATGTGCTGCATTAAGATTCTCCAACTCCCAAGCTAATATGTGCCACTGGAGTTCATCTACAGCAATGTGAGGGCTGGCATCTGCAAACCTCGTGTGACAGAATGCAGTTGTACTGCAGCAATACCAGACATTACATATCTGTAACACTACTTTTTCAGGAGAATAATTGTGAGTAACCCTTAAATAATGCTTCTTGGTCACTATCAGCATGTGCCAAGCTGGCGTTCCTACTAAAATAAGGTTTTTTAAGTTTTCATTAATTTGAAATCCTGTTACACTTCTTTCAGGATAATCTGATCCTAAATCACTTGTTCCAGATGCCAGTGCAGTGTCAGCCGTCACAGCCAAGAGAAATAGGAAGAGGACCTTTGTTCTGAGTTTGTCATTGCATGGATTAGTTATTTGTTCCTATGCAACACTGTTGATTTCCATTATATTCAGAAAAGTTAAGACTAAAGACTGACACTAATCTAGATGGAAGTTAAAATGAAGTTAGGCCGTTCAAGATGAGAAATAAAAGAGAAAATACTCTGGAATTTGCATTCAGACAGCTATTAAATGACTTGGTACCTGATATTAAATGGTGGGAATAATATGTGGGAAAAAAAATACTATAAATGCTGTAAAAAAATGTTGAAGGATTCTGAAGTTGCTTATTTAAATTTTGACCCTGCAAAAGCTGTCAGGTCCTCTTTGAGAAAGAAAAAAAAATCCTATTGTTGTAAAATCAGTTTAGGCTCTCTATCTTCAATTTTAACTCCCCAAACCATACTACAGCTATAGTACATACTACCAGACACCTTGAGACCATTTTCTCCAGGCCGCCAGAGTACACACCATGCACACACCATTACCCTAGATTTAGGTCCTGTTGCCAAGCCTGTGGGTAATCCAGACCTTCTCACTGATTTATCCCTCTTTAACAGAAAGTGTCAGCAGCAAACAAGCCATGTGCTGGTAGCATTTCTGCAGATAGCTGTGCACAAAAGCCAAAACCTGACTGTTACCATGGGATTATCTCATTAAGCTTTTACTGAATATACTGCATTCTTCAATGTCTGTTAATCTTTTCTATTCTTCTCCCTCTTCTCCTCTTCTCTTGCCCTCTGTGCAGGAATGTGAGCTGTATCAAACCCCAGAAAGGGTAAGGGAGCTGCTGTGCTCTGTCACCCAGCAGAGTGGTTCCGTGGTCGCATTTGGCTTGAAAAATCCCGTCTTTCAAACCTTCTCCAAAAGGGCATTGTTGTGTATTTTGGAAAAAAAGAAATCGGCTACTGCACCTGTTGTTATTTATGAATAATAATAAAAAAGCCCTGAAGAAGGAGGATACTTGCTCTCCTACTGAGAGTAGGATCAGGTTCTTGTTTTCCCTAAGCTGCCTTTGTGTTCCTTTAGCAAGTGCAGGAATCTTCAGATGGAATCTTCAGATGGGCGCGTTTTACAGTTGCTCCTGTGAAGGGCTATTTACACTTCCAGAAAGGCACAAGAGGCTCCACTAGCAAAGGTGGTTATTATTTCATGAGAAGCAGTCTTTTTTGGTTTGCACACTTGCCCTGTGTGCCCAGGGTAGCAGGAATGGTCCCTAGGGAAGACTTTGCTCTATGGAAATATTAGCAGCATCTGGTATTTCAGCAGAAAGATTTCTGTTCTTTTGGATTCAACAGAGAACATGGCATAACCCAGTATACCCAAACTTCCAGGGAGGCTGGTGCCACATTTTAATGCACACCCTTTTTTACTTAAGGGGTTTTCTTCTCCCTTAGCTCCTCAGGAAAAAGAGCCTGAGTGACAGATTTTCCCCACTGTTGTCCAAATCTCCAGTATATTCCAGACCTGTCAGGAAGATTGTCAGCTATTACATTGCTCTCCTGCTATGGATGTGCCTGTTTGGAGACAGCTGCTAGCCTGGGTCAGGCTGCTTGCACTGGCCCCAGGTGTTCCGTGGGCTGCAGCACTGAGCTGCTGCTGCTGCTGCTGCTGCTGCGAGCCCGCTGTCGGTTTTAGAGAGCTGGGAAGGGAATTATGGTGTCTTGCTGCTGGCACATTCCTGTTAATGTGTTTACTCACTTTCTTCAGAATCTTATGAGAATTGCCAGTGAATTCAGATAACTGACAGGATCTTAGTTATAATTAGTAGCAGCTTCCATTCTGACACACGGGAAGGACTAAGAGCATTTTTCTTAAGGCAGAGTTGTTATGCTGTCCTCCAGAGAGGTACTTAAAAAAGTACATTTTCTAGCAAAAAGCCTCTCCCACTTGTTTAGGACAGATGGGAGAGGAAAGGATTCTGAAGTGATGGAGTTTGAGGGTAAAAAATTGTACAAACTGTCACAGAGCGTGGGCTTTCACAGATCAGCTATTTTTGTTATTACTGACATGCATCCGTTATATCAGGAACTCAAACAGTATCAGAGCAGATGTGGAAGAAGTTTATATTTCTTTGTTCATAAAAGCTGTGAAAAATCACAGGGAAATTAGCAGTCTGTAATACATGTGGAGACCTGAAACTCAAGGGCTGAATCAAATTACTGAATTTATCTAGCCTGATGAGCAAAGCGTACCTGTCCACAGGGTCTAATCATAAGGCACTGATTTTCAAAGGTCCTTTTATTCCACTTCAGAGGAATTTGAAAGTAAAAATAAACATTAGTGGCTATTCAAAAAGGCCCAAGAAGCTAAATACCCAAGAAGAGTTTAAGATCTGATGACTTTCAATCAAACTGGGGGTCTGATTGAAGGGTAACTCTCCTCACAAACACCACAGAAATGAGGTGGCTGAAGGAATGGCTTGGGCTGATGAGTCCAGTTCATTACAACTGCAAGCAGCCCCAAAATGTTTGAGAAGGCTCAGCCTGAGTGGCCCTCCACCATCAGTATTTCTTCAGCAAGTCCTTCTAGGAATCTACCTGCTCTTTCTCCAGGTTCTGTTATGGACTATACAAATGAAAAGCAAATAATTCGGGGACAAAAATTAAACTATGAACTTCCATTTCACGGACCTGGGGCCCTTATGAGTGCAAATGAGAGTAAAGGCGATAGGACTGGGAGATGATCTGGGACAGTGACCAGTCAGTCATTTAAGTATAATTTAAAAACCTGAGATTAACAGAGCTTCTGGCCATAACTGTATGACTTCCAGGACTGAGGAAGGAGGAGCTTTTTCTGTAGTGTAAGTGGTTTATAGGCCTGAGCTTGGAGATAGTTTTTGAGATTGATCCTGATGGTTAATTTAACAGTATGCTGGTATTGTAGAATAGTTTCATGTCAATTTTCCCTGCTATTTCCTTTGCTTTTTCTACAGGTAACATGTATTAATTTTAATATAATCAATAAATATTCATAAAAATAATGACATTAAATAACCATGCACATGACTCCGGATGTCTTCACATTGATAAAGGAGGCTTGAATATGTTCAAGTTCAAACAGCGAATTATCTTTTTTTACCTATAATTTATTTTTCAGAAGTATACCTGAACTATAGCTTTCCTAATGCAAAAAAAAAAGGAGCATTTTCTGTGCTTGCCAAAACTACCTCCTCTAACTGAACTTGCTCTTTACCAAATTGAAGCAAGGCAGGACTTTGCCACCTCAAATGTAAAAACTGTAGCCAGACAAAAGTCTGTTTTCTTCTTTTACAAGAAAGACACGATCTGAGTTAAAACAGAGACTTTGGAAGTGATTCCTACAGATGCAGACTTGTTCTTCCTGCTGGTGCCAGGAGGATGCGACCTCTTGGATGATACCATTGGTCAGGTCTGGGTGCTACTGGTGATGGAGCTAACACAGATAGTGGGAGTTCTTGGGGCTCTGGCAGAAGCTGGGAGCAGGGACATAGATGTTGCTGCCCTTCCTGGCTGCCCCTGCTTGAAGGATTCTCTACACCATTTTTGCCTAGATCTGTCCCTGCTCAGGTGGCACAGCACCACTGGCATAGTGGATGCTTTTCCACTAAGGATGTGGAGACCCTCCTTAATTTAATTGGCATTCACCAGTGGTTCAGCTCAATAACTCAACATGCCATGACAACTGAGACTGTTGGTGGGCAACAACCTGAGGTGTGAGAAGGACAAGCTCAAGGGGACAGGCCTGACGGAGCAGTGCTAGCTTCTCATCTATATCCTTTCACAGAGCAGAATATGGGTTGTACACATCAGTGACTGCCAGGATGGGAGTCTCACTCAGACACAGTTTTGTCAGGAACTACATTTCAGGCTGTAAGTTAATGAACAAGAAGCATTTTTGCACAGGAGAAACTCCAGACTGAGAAATGCCTTTGGCAAAAGTATTGGATTTCTAGAAGCACTGGATATTATTAGACTGTCTTCTGTGGTGGTGCTTTATCTTTCTGCTTATGTGCAAAAATTTCCCTGCTACTGAATTAGTTTGCTCAATGGAAATCTTATCAAGTCTGAGGAGCTCTATGCAACTGAGCAAGAAGCTAGAAGGATGTGAAATACTTATACTGAGAATTCTGGGTTACAACTAATATTTAACATGTATTTATAAAGGGAAAAGAGGTTATGTAGCAGATTCCTACTATCACATTGGCAAAATAGCTATGCAGATGTCCTTTGATTTCTCCCTAATGCTCATATTTTGCAGGGTGTTAATACCCTGGGTGATATTCATTCACATTAAATGAAATACACAGAGGAGTGGGGATGATAGAAAGATTTTACTGGCACAAATGTGGCAATGAGCAAGTTATATGGGTCAGCACAAATGAGTATAGATAAAATTTTTATATCACCAGGCTATGTATTTCACAAATGCTGGGCATGAAAAGGGAAAAAAAAAATCTCAATTTTTGTAGCGCATTTAAAATTATTGAGGATAATGGTAGTAAGTTTTTGTTTTTCAAGGAAAGCAAATATTCAGACATCTTCATGACAAGTATGAGATCTTGAAATCTCCTTGAAACAATCAGCAAGATTCTCACTGGCCTTATCGGGGCTGAGATTTTGTCCAACTGGCCAACTATAGGAGACTCAAATAAGGGAAAAAAAATAACCAATGCATTTTAGAAACTGATGTGTTTTTTTTTTTCTCTTTAAATGTGCAGACCTGCTGTTTTCACTCCAAAGGTTAATTCTGTGACTACCTCAGACCAAAAAGGAAGATTTTTGCATTATTTTGAGATGCTAGGAGTATTTCCAATGGGGGAAACATGTAGCTTAAATGAGAGGCAAATCACAGAATCAGAGAATGGTTGAGGCTGGACGGTGCATCTGGTAATTGCCGAGTCCAACAGCCCTATTCATGCAGGGCCACCTACAGAACGTTGCCCAGGACCAAGTTTAGTCATGATTTGGCAGCCTCCAAGAATGGAGACCCCACAACCTCCTTGGGCAATCTGTGACAGTGCTTGGTGACTCTGACAGTAACAAAGAGTTTGCTGATATTCAGAGGGAATGTCCTGTGTTTCCATGTGTGTCACCCGCTATCACTAAGAGATGTCTGTCGCCATCTGTCTATTATAGTAGGTTTAATAGGTAGGGTGGAGTTTTCTAAATCCACTGGGGAAGGCTGTCACATGATGCAGACTGCCAGGGCTCTTGTCACTGGGTCTGTGAACTTTCACTCTTCCCAAGAAGTTGTTCCTAGCCACCTAAAAGTGAAGTAAGAATTTGACCACTGCTGAAGATGCCTGGAAATCATAGGAAATACAGGCTGCATGTGTTTATCCAATGAATATGTTAATTAAAAAAAAAAAAAAAAAGCTGTTCAGTGTTCCTGAGAGTTTAAAATAAAAATATTTGCCCAAATGAGACTCAGCACTTTCAAAGAATGTTTTCCTTTTGGTTTCAATTCTTCGTCTTTCACAGACCCCTGTTTTGCCTAGTATCTGCCATTTTGAAATCTGTAACTTGTCCTAATTTGGCCATTTTTATGTATTGACTTTGAAGCACATACTGCGACAATATTAAAACAGAAAATCATAGAATAATGGAATGATTTGCCAAAACTCCTGCCATGAATAGGGAGACTTTTCACTAGACCGGATTGCTGCAACCTGCTGGGATGAACTAAGCAGGATGGAGCCTGTGTCCCTGTGTGTCTCTGCTGGTTGGCATTGTGAGCAAGGCAATTAAATAAATGCAGTTTGCATTTCAGCTGTGGTTTGATGGTTGCCTTTGGTTTCCTGTATGTGCCGATTCACTCACCATTCAACCTGGTCTTGAACACTTTCAGGAATGGGGAATCCATCACTTCTCCAGGCAACCTGTTCCAGTTCCTCACCATCCTCAAAGGAAAGCATTTTTTCCTAATATCTAACCTAAGCTTCTCTCTTTCAGATTTAAAGCTATTCCCCCTTGCCTTATCACTTCTTGCCCTTGTAAAAACTTATCTAAACTTGTGGAAAACATTGTGAAACTCCTGACCTCCTTAAAACATTCTTGCACTGCTTTCCTGGATTTGAACTACAAAATATAAGGAAAAACCAAAGAGGGAACAGTTATTCTATTTACCATCAAGACTGTTCAAAATGTTTTTCATAGTAAGTTTCTGTCTAAAGCTTAAGCAGGAGGCTACAGTAGACAAGAACTTACATCTTCGCCATGTTGATCAGACACTAAAGGCAAAAATTAAATGGAAAACACATCTTTATATTAATTGTAGATGGCTAGTGTTTCTCAGGAACTGAGGGAAACAAACAAAACTTCTCAGCTCCCGAGAGTTTGAAGTGTACTGCTTTAAATCAGTAAATGTGGATAATTTACATGCCTAACATGCCACATATCAGCATGAAAACATTTGTCAGAAACTGATGAATGAAACAAGAAGAATAATGAAGAAAAATGACATTATACAAACCATCCAGAGAGCAAAATAAACAATGTAAGTGTTTGGTAAATAAATCCCTGTAGAACTCTTAGAAATGAGTCACTGATTAATTGAATCAATCCATCAACCATTTGTGATTGCATCAATATGCAGTCCCATTGATGTTTATTCTTCTTCCATAGCTACTGTTTTAAATGCCTTTAAAATGTAAGATAAGATATAATGTATCCATATGGAGCTACCATAAATTAACTGGATACCCTAGTAAGATATAATTGGCTGATTCTTTTACTTAATTCTTGTGTGTAATGCTGTAAATAACCATATCACCTTTTCCTTTTTCTGAATTTTTTTTGTCATCCACTTCTTCGATGAACTGAAATTTAACAGCAGAGTGGGACTGTGAGATCATATTTTTCTTTTTTTTTTTTTTTCCTAATTGAAATGTTCTCATTAACTTTATTTATCACATAAACCCTTTGTAGGAAGGACTGTCTTATTTACTCTATTCATAGATTGGACCATGCTTGTACATTCAGTAGTTATCAGAAATAATTTTTGTGTACTATATACTTGTCTAGAAAATAAACACTTAGCACTTTGAATGTCTCGACAGGAGGGATAGGAAAGGCTAAGCAGAAAAGGAGAGAGACTGTGTGTGGTTATGTATCTCCACCATAAAATATAGCCACCTAACAGGTGTGTGTATGTGTGCATGTAAGTGTGACTGAGTGAACTGAGCCAACATTTAGCACAAATGCACACAGATGCATCAATATGGAAAACCCTATGCAAATTAAAGCAATTGCACATACTCACATGCTCTCCTAGGAGCAAAATATTCACCTGCATGCATAGAAATCAACTATCTAAATGTTTGCAAGGGGAAAAAACACAATCCGGAGAAAATTCTTGAAGAAAATGAAACGTGAATCTAATCCAGTAAACGTGTTCATAAACATTTTTTATCAATTTCTTCTAATTCACCTGTGCCTTTTGTAGCTCTGGATGTTTATGACTTTCTGTGTACTCAGTGAGCTATAGCTTTAGCAAATGTAATTGCACATGTGCTAATGATTCCTACCAGGGCTTGCTGTGTCTCATGGCTTCTGTAATGCTGCTTTACCATTCAGTTAAATGTCTCCCTGTCTGAGGCTTTTTGAGAATGTACATAACCTTGTGCTTCCTCTTCTTGTTGTTTTGTACACATCCTTAGTGACACTATCCTCCACAACTGCCATCATCACCTTTATGGGAGCTGGAAACAATGGGCGTGACAAAGAGCAGTATGTAATTTTGGGAGGGCATCTGGGGTTGTGTTCAGGAAGAGAGACAGTGAGAATGGGACAAGAAGATGGTGACAGAGAGAAAGAAATTAGCTAGGTGTGAAACATCTGCATGGCAGAACTGGAGGCTGTTGGAGAGCACATGCTGAATGTAAACAAGCTTCTTCACCTTAAACTCCCCATAACCTATTTCCCATCAGGACAAAGGCAAAGCTGCGAAAATGATAAGGTACCAGATGGCAGTAAAGACCGTTTCCATTGGTGGATGAAGAAGCATGGCTTTTGTAGAGATTTAATTTTGAATCATAGATGACCACAAACATTTATTTTTCAATTCTCATGTTTCATAGTGCTTCTATGTATCCAAAATAATAATCCCAAGGCATTTTGAAGTCCCAAGAGCTAAGTCTTCTACTCAACAGAGAGCAGAAAGATTGGATTTTTTACTGGATTTTTTATTAAAAAATGTCTTTTATGATCTTGGCAGGATTTTGGAAGACACTTGTAAAAGACATAATCTGTTTCAATTGGTTTCTGAGAGATAAAGGAAAAGTGCATTTTTAAAAGACCCTTCTTTTGTACATATGGAGAGAGATTTGCTACAAATGTATGTACGGTGCTACTTTGAACTTCACATTTGGTACAATATCTTGCTAAACCACTCAGCTATACCAAGGTCTCAGCTTTAACTAGCTGTAATTGCTTCTCTTGTTGAAGGTTTGAACAGACGGACTTGCCAGGACCTGGGATCAAACAGAACTGATTTCTCCAATCCATGTCAGGAAATGAAGCATATTGGTGGCTACAGGAGGAAGATCCCTTTTACTGGTTGATTCTGTGCTGCGCTACTTCTGTATGTGAATGAGTAATTGCAGTCTAAAGGGTGGTTTCATTTGTGTATTGTAATTGCATTTAATACTGCACATCGCTTGAAGCAGAGCAATTAGCTTAACAACTGTCTTAATCTTTCTCCAAGGAGCTGTGGACACTGTGCTGTCTGCAGTATTGCTGTGCATTGGTTCTTCAACAACACCTGGCTTACCTTTAGTGTCTGCTGTCAATCCACATGTTCTGGGAAGAAGCCAGATTCAGAATAGCTAGAAACAAACTCAAGAAGTCCATCACTTTCATCTCAACTACTCATCAGTAGACAGTCAGCAAGCAATACATGCACATAGACTATTCACGGGGCTTTCCATCTTTGTGAGAAGTCCTTCTCCTCTTAGTATTTGCATTTAAAAATAAAACAGAGGACTGGAAATGAAAATGTTACAAGGTGGAGTGATTCATGGAGTGTGGTGTATTGCTTTGGCTACTATCAATTTGCTCAAATGGAAGGTGAGCATGCAAGTGATGAAAGGCTTCAGACACTGAGTTAATGGCCATTCCTATCTGGAGACATTCATCAATCAATACGTAACTATATTGTAAATGCTTACTATATAACTGTGCCAGACTTTGTCAAAATGCTGTGCAGCAGTGGAGTATTGTAAACAGTACTTAGATTAAGCAAATGGAGCACAAACCACTTCTCCATATCTGACTAAAATGTATCACTTGAACTATTATGAAGGCCTAAAAAATCCTAACAAAAGAACTCTCTTTCTAAGGAGTCATCCTAAGAGAGCATGACCGAATACCTCAAAATGTATATCATTCTGCTCCACCTTTATTAAATGACCTCAGGCGAGTTGTCAATATATGTGAGCTCTATAAACATTTTGTCTAAGACCGGATTCCATCATTTCAGTGTAGGGACAATAAATAGCATATAAAAGAATACGAAAGAGGAAATATCCATGTTACACAGCTCCTTCTTAACAAGTATTATTTTTGCAATACTTAACACTGTTGGCAGCTCTATACCTATCATGGGCTTAAAATTCCTGATGAGTGGGCAAAACCAGCCCTGTTTTCTAAGTAAAGAGTCTGTTGCAGTCAGCCTTGTATAAGAAACCTTTTAGTGTCAGTGATAATGAAAATACCTGGTACATATGACAGCGTTAAAATGGTGTCATGACCTAGCAATTTCTATTCAGTGCTGTCACATCCATGCACTGCACAGATCGGGATTGTCATCATGTAAATGTAATAGGATTCTTTATCCTGCATTGTTGCTCAGCTGGGAAGAGTAATTCTGAGTTTCCTGTAAATTCTGAATAGCAGAAGGGGGCCATGAATAGCTTGGAAACCTATATTTTTTCCATTTATTTTTTTTTTAATGCAAATTACACTAGTAAGTCAAAAAAATCACTTTTGTTAAAAATACATTCAGAATTAACAAATGCCAAAAAGAAAAGAAAAAAAAGACACATTTGGATTGTATCTCTTGCCTTCTGAATATTTTAGTTTATAACAAAAGCCCAGCCTAGAAAAATAACATTCTTTACTGGATTTTGAGGAGGATACAGCTGTACAAGTCAAAAATGCCATCCAGATATTCTCACATTACTGTGCTCTAAACTGCTTCCAGAAGAGATCTGTCCACTAATCATTTAGTTGAGTAGTCAACAGTCCTAATTTTTTTAATGGTGGTGCTCTAACTGCAACTTAAGCAGGGTTATGAATACCAACTTCATATAGGTATGTAAGTGTATATATATATATATATATATATATATATATATATATATATATATATACTGTGTGTATGTGAGTATGTGAGTGTGTGTATCTACTCTATATGTAATATATGAATACACATTAATATTGCAATCCATAGTAGTTAGATGTGCTTCCTATTTCCTAAGCATTTTACAAACATTAACAATTCAGACCTCACAAAAAACCTGTGAGGCACATATTATTCCCGTAGTATGGATGGGAAGACTAAGACACAGAGAAATTAAGGCCAAAATTTTCTAAATTAAAATCAGGCCTATAAGCTACGTGTAGACACTTCATTAAATTGTCTGACTTCTAAAATTGCTAACTACCAGTAGCCACTGTTCCATGGGAAATCACTGAAAGGTATGAAAAATTATCTTCTGAAAATTGGATTGCTGCTTAGGTGCCTTAACTGGTTTCTTTTCATGTTAAGAAATGATTTTTATAGAAATATCATTTTGATTAACTGGTATACAGGAAAAGATAAAATAACCTGTTATGACATTTTCATCCCATTTAAACCTCTTCATTGTGTTTAATACTATATATCTGCTATATTTAATACTACATAAAAGTAGAAACTTTTTTAGTTTTGCAAATTATGGGAAATTTCAGCCTGTCACTTGGAAGTTGTGTGGGGTTTCCAGGGGGTGAAAAGCATCTCTACCCAGTAGGAACTCATATTTTCAGGTACTCAAGTATGGAAATTAAAATTTGAGATCCAAATCAGCAATGAATGCTTTACAGGATCAGGCCTAGGGAACATTCATGTTTCATGCATGAAATTCCCAGCAGTATCTGAGATGGGAACCCTTGGTCCACTGCATCAGAATCTTCCTGGGTGATGCAGCCTCCAAAAATAGTTAGTCCTGTGTATTTTATATACATAGACATACACACACCTTCACACACTTACATATATATATATCTAGCTATATCTATATAAATCTCACTGAATCAATGTAGGTATAGCTCCTGACCATGTCCTGTATCTTGTTTTCACTGGTGAATGCCTGTTCCTCTGTCATTGTCCAGAGTTGCTGCTTGTGACGCTGTACATCCATGCAGACACAGCAAAGGGCACTGGCTTGTACAGGGATGGGTGAGTGGTGTGAGTGCACAGGCTCTGGAGCAAGGGTTTGGCCAGCAGGGAAAAGGGAGTTGCCCAGGGGTGCCTCGGGCATTTCCAAGTCCTGACCTTCCCTCTTGCCCTCAAAAGCTACGTGGTCACCTCAGGTGTGGTAGGTGCGTGTGTTTGTCTATGCAAGGTCTGAGCAAAGAAACAATGACAATCCAAGTTTCTGAAAAACCTGAGCAAAATATTGGGTTTTCCTAGTGAAAGCCATCTACGTTCTTGAAAATACAGATCAGATGTAGAATAAAACATATGTTCCTAGGAGTTCAGAGTATTTCATATACACATTGACCTACTAGCAAAATTCCCAAAGGCATCTTGTTGCCAACTACGTAACAGCACAGAGGGTTTTTTTCAGCCACAATAATACAGGAAGATAAAATACACGTTCTAACACACAACAGATCCCCCAAATATACCACAAAAAGGTCTTCAGTATTTCTTCAACTCAACTAGTCCCTCCCTGCCCTCTCCAACCAAAATCGAGAAATAAAATATGTGGATCCCTTATGGTGCAATTAGAAAAAAAAAAAAAAAAAAAGCTCACTTACAGAGAATTTTTAGTTGAAATCAGATATAAAAGAGTAAACATAGCTAGTACATATTCTGTTGGCCTTTGCTCATAGAAATCTGCAGATGTCTCTGTAGTTAGTAAAAGATGTTTAGAGATAGCTATAAAAGCACTTATAGTGCGATAAATAAAACCAGCGGGATTAAGAAGCACTGTTTCTGCTGCTTATTTCCAGTAGGTTCAATTATTAGTTTCTGTTACCCATTTTCCCACCCTGACCCCCAAAAGGTGTAATTTATTTCTTTATTTATTTTTCTTTTCCATCATTATAAACTGCTTCTTGACCACTGTGGAGCCCCAAAAGTAAAGCACTTATCAGACAGCTGGCAGTTTTCTACTTGGTTGCTCTGGAGCCATGGAGCAACAGAGCCTTATTCCCTGACATGAAAACAAAGCAAAACCAAACAGAAGAAAACCACTGACTTATAAATCGTTCAGAATTAACAGCAGCATGTTAACTTCAGAAAGCTTGCACGTAGTTTCTCTAATGTGCAACGCAGTTGGGTTAAGGCAAGTATGAACTGTACAGCCTTCAGGGCAAACAATGCGCTGTCTGTTGACTTCTGCTGCAAGGTCATCCTGGTACTTCAGTGTTGTGTTGGCTGAGGAGACTCAAAGCGGCCCTCAGTGTGGAGGAGGCTCCCACAGCACTGACGGGGCTGGGTTCATGTCTTAATCCAGATGGGCAGTGCTGGCCGTGGCCAGGGAAACAAAGGGACAAAAAGTGGCACCAATGCCTCTGCTGTGTCCCTCGGGTGCTGAGAGGCAGGAGTCTCAAGGAGGGAATCTGGGGCATCTCCTTTAGTACCTGTTAGAAAGAGAGGCTGAAGGTCTCTGTTGCTTTTTGTCTCATTGTTCAATCAGCTTTTATACATTATTTTTAGCACAAAAATTGGATTTCTTTTCTCTTTGAAGAACCAGGCCATCCTGAAAGAGATTTTTCAACAGGTCCTCCAGCCCACCTTGAGTAGTCCCCATATTTACTTTGACCTAGAAGAAAGACAGAGAAAGAGCAATACTTATAATCCAGCATATACTTTTCTGATCCCTGCCCTGCTGCTCTGTTGCCCTTTTGCAAGCAAGTGTAATCCACAAACCAGTAACAGTTCAGATACACATGGGATGAAGAGGACAGAAAGACAAAATGTTTACTCAAGTAACTGTCTGGCTCTCTCTGGAACACTGTCAGAGAAGTCAGCAAAGGTTTTCTAAACAATCTTAGGCAGGAGTTATATTTAATTATAATCTTAACTCTATGTCCATGGGTCAACTGGAATATGACCTGGTTTCCATAATCCATCAGATATGTAGCTGTCTTTGTAAAACCAAGAAGTGACATGGTATGAGGACAGAAGGCTGGATTGCAGGTGCAGGGAAAAGCTGCCCATGGCTCACTCACAAAGCAGAGACCCTGTGCAAGTGCCACAGCCTGGGCACCTTAGCAGTGCTGTCCCAAACCCATGTTTTGTAACTAAAGCTTTCAGTCTAAAATGGACAAGATATTGTCTGTTGATAGTAAAAGCTTAGGTGGTAGGTTATTTAAATGTGTCTGAATCCCAAAACATGAGGAGATAATCACACAGAAGATTTGTACTGCATGAACTTGCAGAGTGTCATGGTGGTTATACTCAAGGTGCTAGTTTTAATGGGTATTTTTGTGTGTTTCATTTATATTTTAAGTGAATGGTGAAGTAGGTAGCACTTTCAATATGTGCAGTTATCTAGACAAATGCCTGTGTGGTGCATGGGAGTACAGATACTGCAAATATTCTTAGGCTTCACAATAGGTGGAAAGCATGCTTCACTTCAGGGCTGCACTGCTTTTGAGCAATTTCTCCAGTGCATTAGGCATCAACATCAGACATGCATGGGTTTTTTTTGCTTCACTTCTTCTTTTCTTGAACAGACAAGTTCAGTGTGAAGAACATAAAGAAAGATCTCTCTCCCCTCCCTCCTTCCTACTGTTTTTAGAACAGTGATCATGCAGTGCAGTCTTGTTCCACAACTACAACTGGTTTTTTTTTCATGTGCAGCAGAATCAGTGTCAGGGAGTGTTTAGTCACCTTCCTCCGTCACCTCCCAAGAGGAGAATTTTGTCTTGACAATTGATTTCCGCCATCTTATTGTGTCCTTCTCCCATGGTCTGGAAATGAGCACTGGCATCTCCGGCACAGAATGCCAGGAAGCTGCTTTTGAGTACATCAGCTGTGGCCACACTGTAAGGAGGTACATGAGCATCGGTTCTGTCCCGTTCTGTTCAAAAAGCGTATTCGTTTTGAAGGGACTGTCTAGGCTTCTTGGCTTGTACAGCATAGAGCACACTGTTGGCACTTAAATAATAAAAAAATCCCATTTATAACAGGTAGAGAAATGTCACCATAAGAATTCTTCCCCAAAACATCAGTGTTTTATTTAAAACATAGTTTTAAATTGCATATATGTTTCACTTTAAAAAGTAAACTGATTTAAGTTAAATACTAAATTGGAAGAGGTGATAAGGAAAACTGTGACTGGAATTTAAAGCCAAAAACATAAAGAAAAAAACTTCAGTGTGAGCCTGAATTTAATAATTTTAGACTATTAAAGGTAGCCAGAGATAGTCACTTCAATTAACTACCTAAAGATATTTCTTTTTCAGAAACCAAGGTTTTTCTTTTCCTTGGATATCCTGTTCATTTAGGGTAGTTTTTCATAACTGATGCAACACCATACAAAGCGACTATGTGTGTTTAAACTGAATTAGAATAAAATTCTTAAAAGTAGAGCCCGATTGATGAAAATCACAAATAAAAATAATAAATCTTTAGATTAAATAGTCCTGACACAATAGAAATTTAAATATGAGAAGTCTGAATAAATCAATATAATTTCACATGTAAGTTGGTGTAGGTTCAATATAACCTCCACATTAACAAAATGAAGTCCTAACTTTAGCACACAGGAAGAAACTGGTTACAAAACAGTATGTCTTTAAGTTAGCAATGAGTAACCCCAGCATTCCTTCAGAGGAATGGTTAAATAGTGAATGTATAAAGGAGAACAAACAGAGAACAAACTGCTGTTGTGCCTCTGCATATATTAGCAATCAGATGATTTAAAGGCACCTGTCTCCTGTTCAATTTCTCTAATAAATCCAGAGCTCCATATGAGACGTGACCAGTGTGAGTCTGAATAGGACAGCATGCAGTGGTGACAAAAAGTGATCTCTGTATCTTCTTGATCTGCAGGAATTTGATGGGATGATGCCTAATATATGTTCTGTTGCCTATGAATCCAAAGACATTTTGTAGCAACTGATAAAGTTTTAGAAATGTTTTTATGAATACAGATATATGGACATATATGGGTATAGTTGTATCCTGGATGGACATGATTACATCTTGGAAAGTGGTGAGAATGTGGCAAGGGACTATGTAAAGTCCTCTCCTCTCCTCTCCTCTCCTCTCCTCTCCTCTCCTCTCCTCTCCTCTCCTCTCCTCTCCTCTCCTCTCCTCTCCTCTCCTCTCCTCTCCTCTCCTCTCCTCTCCTCTCCTCTCCTCTCCTCTCCTCTCCTCTCCTCTCCTCTCCTCTCCTCTCCTCTCCTCTCCTCTCCTCTCCTCTCCTCTCCTCTCCTCTCCTCTCCTCTCCTCTCCTCTCCTCTCCTCTCCTCTCCTCTCCTCTCCTCTCCTCTCCTCTCCTCTCCTCTCCTCTCCTCTCCTCTCCTCTCCTCTCCTCTCCTCTCCTCTCCTCTCCTCCTCTCCTCTCCTCTCCTCTCCTCTCCTCTCCTCTCCTCTCCTCTCCTCTCCTCTCCTCTCCTCTCCTCTCCTCTCCTCTCCTCTCCTCTCCTCTCCTCTCCTCTCCTCTCCTCTCCTCTCCTCTCCTCTCCTCTCCTCTCCTCTCCTCTCCTCTCCTCTCCTCTCCTCTCCTCTCCTCCTCTCCTCTCCTCTCCTCTCCTCTCCTCTCCTCTCCTCTCCTCTCCTCTCCTCTCCTCTCCTCTCCTCTCTCTCCTCTCCTCTCCTCTCCTCTCCTCTCCTCTCCTCTCCTCTCCTCTCCTCTCCTCTCCTCTCCTCTCCTCTCCTCTCCTCTCCTCTCCTCTCCTCTCCTCTCCTCTCCTCTCCTCTCCTCTCCTCTCCTCTCCTCTCCTCTCCTCTCCTCTCCTCTCCTCTCCGAAGGCTTACAGTGGTGATATTTGGGGAACAAACTCCATAGGGAACCAAACCTTTCCTCTCAATAAATAAAGCTTTAAAATACCAAGTATGGCCTGCTGTTATCATAGCAGCATGTTTTGATTTTTAATACATAATATTGCTGTAAATAATGCTACAAGCAGATCAAACCTCGACTTGATTAACTTGACATTCGAATTTGTCACTCCGCTACCTAATGGACTGCCTGTGTTTACAGAGCACCTGCAATGTGAATACATATGCATGTGTTCCTAGTGTGCCTCAGCTGTAAATAAAGAAAGGTATTACTAAATGCTGTAAAAGCTTCTTAAGGACAGATTGTAGCAATCCTAGAGAACCCTGTCAAACACTATACAGTCAGAGGGAAACATGAAGTGTCTTTATTTGACTGTGGCTGGGACATGGCAATACTTTTGCAGGTTGATTGCACAAAATGTCCACTCACATTCTGATTTCTGTCTCTTGGTTAAGACAGCTAAATCACCTATACTCCAGTGTGCCTGCAGCACTGAAATAAGAGAGAACACAGTTTACATGGATTAATCAACTATCTCTTCATCTAAGCTACAGTCTTAAAACTACTGCCTTCCTTTTTTTATTTTTTTCACAGGTCTATCTTTCTTTACAGTCAGTATGAAGATGCATAGTAAATGCAATCTGCTGTTCTGGAAGAAACACCGAGAGCATAAAGAGAATGGGATAATAGCTAGAGGGCTCCATATGTTGATGACAAGGTATATATACTGAGAAAGAGATAGTATTAGAGTTGTTCTAAGTACCTATGTACCTCATATAATACTATGAAGGAAATAACATTTTCTAAATGCGCAGCACTGTGCCAAAAGTGCAGGTGAAAAATATTTACTTGAGCACAGACAGATGGGAAGCTGAAGTTAAGACGACATTGGTGATATGCACTATTGTAATTTGGGATTATTAAAAACTCCTAGCAAACCTCCTGAAGGGCCCAGTTCCAAACACCACCACAGAACAGATTGTACCACTGATAAAGGAGTAAATGCAATATTCCATGCAAAAATACACAAATCCATTAGTAGATTTGATTCCACTGATCAGGAGAAATGAAAATGCATTCAAAGATGAGTGAACTTGTGTGTTGGGATGGCTACTACTTGCTTGAACTTAGCTCTTTGCCACAAAAGAAATGTTCAGAAGAGAAACAAAGGAAAAACCGTAACTGTTGCCCCTTTATGAGTTGTGTGGTGCTGTGCTTTTAGTGTGTAGGGCATTGATAGCAAATAAAAAATATTTCCAAAGGCTGCAGCAGTGAGGTAAGATTTATCTGGGCAGTCAGGACTGTTCTGCATTTCAGTTGACATCAATACAAGAAATATTTGGAGACGATTGTTCCTGGGCTGGTCTATGGTTGTGTGTCAGCTCTAGTGTGAATATACTCCAGTTGCATGTATGAGCTGAGATTTGTTTATCCATTTAATTCCTAGATATATCAGACAGCACTCGAATATAGAGTTGTCACTCAATGGTTAGGTAAAATACTGTCTTCTATTCAAACCAGTTTTAAAAACCATATGTTATTACATTTGTTTTGGCTTTTTTAAATGTGGAAACTGAAAATGAGGTACAGAGGTGCCTTGGTGAACAGATGCTCTGGTAAGACAAATGCTAAATGCATCCACTAAATTAGCAAGTTTCTTAAATTTTGATAAAACTTCATAAAAATCCACCTTTTTTTTTTTTTTTTTTCACAGCCCAGGTTTGGCATATATGATTAGTGTTTTTTCTACATCAAATTGTTACTGTCTCTGAGTGGCACCTGCTTGAATGAAAATAGGGAAAGATGAGGTGAGAGTTGGATGCTGTTTGAACAACTGTGACACATGATATCCTGCCCTAAGAACACATTATAATTCAACACAAGAGTAATGTTGGTTCTAAGTGTAACTTGAATTCAATCCATCAAAAAAGGCTTCTGACTATTCTGAATTTTTAAGTCATGCTATCTTTCAGCTTAATGATCCTTTAATATCAGGCTGCCACTCTGCTGAATATCCTAGAAGTCAAGTACTTACATATACATGGGCTGTAGCTGTAAATGAGATGTCTTCTGTGGGCCTTGATAGCCGTAGGAGTCAAATCCACCTATGAAATCAACTGAAAGGGGAGAAATTGCTTTCATTAGCAACATCTTTTCAGAACTGGTGGGCACTATCATTCAAGAAACACCTAGTACACAGATTATTTTTTACAGGTCCTGTAATAATCTGTTAGTATTACACCAGCTAATTGGGAAGATACAGAAAAACAGTAAAAAGTAAAGAAAGGCAAAGTACTCCTTTTTTTCCTTTACTTTTAAAATCAATTCAATTTTAAAACCACATAAAAACAGTAAAAAATTTATAACATCCATCTTTCCACCAGAAATAAGTAGACATCCCTCTTTTTCAAGTATACCACCTCACTAATGCAAAACAACATGCTATTTAGACATTACAAATTCCGAAAACCATTTATCTATTCTTATGAATGCATTGCTTCTGACTGTGTCTGGCTTGCTGTCATACCGTGGCTCAGTGGAGGGTGTAGACAAGGGAGTACATTGATCCAACTCTGTCTGAGAGACAGAAGTTTCTCTGACTCCCTGTTTTGACATTTGGGTTGAAATGCATGGACAGAAAGTCGGAACAATTTATCTGAGCTTCAGAGATGAAACTTCACAGATGTAAGGAAACCTGCATTTCTCTCAAAGGTCTGCAAGAAGTTTGAGAAGGTTGTAGGGTGGAAGTTATTTATTAATTCACACAATTGCCAGCTCCTGATGACCTTCTTATGGTTTTTTTAAACAATTTCCAGGAAAATTCAATCTCATCTGAGCCCAAGACTCCTATATCTCTGCTAAAACACTTTCTTTGCACAGGTAAAAGGTTGTCCTTTGCTTTCTTTGTCCCAGGAGACTCAACTATCAGCTTATAAAGGTTATTTGGGGGCATTTCTTGTCCCTGAAATATTGTCTCTTACACTGCAGATGTGAATTGGACTTTACTTGGATAGAAAAGGGCCAAAGAGTTCAGGTATGGAAGTGCATTTTTCACATGTCTAATCAGTGCTACTGACAGACTGATTCTGTGTACATTGAAAGCAAAAAACAAACGAAAAAAAAAAAAGGCTCTTTGATAGACAACAACTTCTTGTAGATCTAAAATGCAGTTACAGTTACAAACAAAAAAAAGAGTAAATTTACATGGTTTGAAAACTTCCACAGTGGTTGTACTCCTTAACACTTGCATTTATAAAGTTGTTTTAATACTAAGGTACCCCTCAATTTGTGCCACACTTATCAATACATTTTCAGACATTCCAAACATTTACCAAAGAATCAAATTCTTGTACACCTTCATTCACCACTCTGCAAGCAAAGAGCTACCAAAACACTGGACTGGCTGGGTACAGTATGTCTCTATTGCAACTGCACACATGTTGAATATGTTATAAAGTCATTCTTTGCTGGCAAGAATGGCCCCTGCAGAAGTAATTTAGCCAATTCTGTGCCCTGTAGAAGCATTATGTGTATTCCTATCCCAGAAAGATATGTTACTAAATTAATCCCTGACATCTCCAATGAAGGAGGTTCTATAGCCTTTCTGTGTTGCTTTTCCCTGTGCCTAATTTCCTAATGTCTAATTTAAATGTAATTTCCTTCAATTAACTACTTATCTATATTTTGGCCTTTTCTCCCTATGGATATGAAGAAAAATGAGCCATTTTTTTCTCTTATAACTGTTTTTAAACCTTTTTAAAAAGTATTTCATGATATCCATTGTTTTCAGGCTTAAACAAACCTAGTTATTTCAAATTTTTCTCACAGCTAATGTTGTCCAAGCCTCTACATTCTGAAGATCCTTCCTCAGTTTACTTATGTTTTTCTTTCAGTGGGTGCACAAAGCAGGGCTAACTGGAACAATTGCCATACAGTCTTCTGTTCATTACCTGAAATAATTCAGTAGGCTTTAGAATTTTGTATGTTTGGTTGGGATTTTTTGTTCTTGTTTTGTGTCATTTGGGTTTGGTTTCCGATTTCTTTTTTCAACAGCATCATACAAATGCTTAATAATCAGCTCTTTATTTTTTGTTTTGACACTAACTATAGCCTAGCCTAGTCCATATTTTATTTGAAGATGATTGATTCTTCCCCACAGGAGTTATTTTGTACTTGTCTGAACTGAATTTCACCTTTTTGATTTCAAGCCACTTCTCAAGATTATTTTGACTTCTAATCCTATATTCACAAGTGCTTGTACCCTTCCCAGTCTAGTTTAATCTTAATTTTTTTACAAACATTCTCTTTTCTATCCTCATTGTTTTTAATAAAACTAATGAAGATAATTATTTCCCTAGCTGAGGTTCCAGTGGGATTTCATGTGAAATGTCCCATATGCTTTATAACTTCATTTCAAATAGAGTTTTAAACAGGTCTGAACTCCACCTATGCTGACTACATATGGACAATACTTTCCTGAACTTCTTACAAACCTTTTATAATGTCAAAATCTTGCTAAAATCAAGACAAATGCTATTTGTTGCTTTCCACTTAATCAATGTCTGTAACCATCAGAATACCTCTATCAAAATGTTATCATGTCTTTGGGAACTTACTGAATTTACAGGCAGAAAATGAAGAATACTTGTTACTGAAATGCTAGGCTGGGAGGAAGCCCCCCCTTCTATTCAAATACAGAGACTGCTGGAGAAAAAACGATGGACGTATGGTTTGCTGCAATTATGGTTCATTGTTTGCTTGCCCAATTTTCTTTTCTTTTTGTTACTCTTGATCCCTGACAACACAAGTCAGAAAATGCCTGTGTTGGATCAAGCGCCTCACTGTTGTCAACACATGCCATGTTAGGGATATTGCTTATACTCATTTGTCCAGCTTTGCATTTCTTCTGTACTTTCCTAGATTTTTTTCAAGCAACCTATAAAATATTATTAGTAGGCTGCAGGCATAGACACTCTGCTTTGCAGATGTGGGGCAAAAGCTTGTCTTCAGGGCTGTTTTCAGAAAGCTAAACCAATGTATTAAGAAAAAGATTTCTTTGAGCAAAATTATGTTGTGTGAGCATGAGGGAAAGAGGCATACTGAATATCTCTTCACACATTATGGCTTTGCCCTGCTGTACAGAGCAAGCACAGAGTGTTAGTAAGCCAGATTGCCAAGTTACAAACAAAGCAAGGTCATAGAGACATTTCTGTGTTCAGCTCACTATAGAAGTTCCCATGTGTGTAACCAAATGATGGCAGGGCAGCGAGTACAACCATGACCTCACTGGAGACATACAATGGCTTCTTACAGGCAACAACAAGCTTTGCAAGGCAGGTGAAGGGAGGTAATAGAGAGTGAACTCCAATACAAAAGGATTTCATCAATTTGTTTGTAGCAAGGTTTCTTCATGGCAGCTGCTCCTCAGCACTGCAAACCCTGTGGTGTCCAGACTGTGCTAAAAGCTCCCTGTGGACTCTGAGCTAGTTTCTTAAAGCATGCAGCAGTCTGCCCTTTCTGCAGGCATTTTATCCTGGCTGTGCCTGAAAGGTCACTAAAATGTCATACAGCTGATACATTCCTGGCAGCCATAACATCAGATGCATAAAACAAGGCTCATTAGCTGAATCAGTACCAAGGCATCCATCCTTAGCCTCATACATCAAATACTTTTTTTGACTCTTCTATCTTACACTTGTGGTAGCGTCTTACATGTCACTGTTATCACAAGAGGCTCATGTTGTGTTTCCCTTTAGTAAAAGCACATATAAACATACAAACATAATCCAATTCCTTTTTTGGTGGGCTGACCCTGGATGAACATCCGTTGTCCACTAAAGCCACTCTGTTGCTCCCCTCCTCAGCTGAACAGGAAAGAGAAAACATAACAAAAGATTCATGGGTCCAGACAGAGACAGGGAGAGATCACTCAGCAATTACCATCACAGGCAAGATAGCCTTGAATTATTACCAAAGACGAACAGTATAATGAGAAATAGAGACAAATATTAAACCTTCTTCCCAGGCTTAACTCCTGATTCTATGCCTTCTCCATTTCCCAGTGACATCAGGGAATGAGGAATGGGGGTTGTGGTCAGTTCATTTTGTCTCTCTGCTGTTCTTTCTTCCTCAGGGGGAGGACTCCTTACATGCTTCCTCTGCTCCAATGGTGGGTCCCTCCTATAGGAGACAGTCCTCCACAAACTTCTCCAATGTGAATTCTTCCCACAGGCTACGATTCTTCATTAACTGCTCCAGTGGGTCCTTTCCTTGGGGTGCAGTCCTTCAGGAACACTGCTCTTGTGTCTTGCCAGCAAACCTGCTCTGGTGTGGGTTCCTCTCTCCATGGGGCCACAGATCCTTACAGGAGCCTGCTCAGCACAGGCTTCCCACAGGGTCACAGCCTCCTTCGGGCACCCACCTGCTCTGCCCTGGGCTCCTCCATGGGCTGTGGTGGATCTCTGCTCCCCCATGGACCTCCCTGTGCTGCAGGGGCACAGCTGCCTCACCATGCGCCAGGGCTGCAGGGCAATCTCTGCTCCAGTGCCTGGAGCAGCTCCTCCTCCTTCTTCATTGGACTTGGGCTCTGCAGAGTTGTTGCTCTCACTCCCATTCTACTCTTCATATGAAGTTCTTGTGCAAAATTTTTTCCCTTCTTTAACCTGTTATCCCACGGGCCCTGCCCCTATCTCTGATAGGCTGAGCCTTGGCCAGCGGTGGGCCCATCTTGGAGCCATCTGGCACTGGCTCTGTCAGAAGCCACAGGAGAAGTTTCTAGTTGATCTTCACAGAACACAACCCTGTAGACCCCTCAAAAACACCTTTGAAATATTATGTGTTGAAATTGTTATTTTCTCAGCTGGACTTGAATAGGATAATAGCAGTACTACTTATCTGTAAAATGTGTTATAAAAAATTCAGATTATTTTCTTCTTTTGTTTGTATTAAGGGTCTTGTCAGACATATGACTGTTACAAGTGTAACACAGGACATATGGCTCAAAGTAGGGACATATTTTCTATCAATAATTACCCACAGGAATGTGAAGTTTCAACTTCTGCTCATGGTCAGAGTCCCCACTGTTTCTGCTGTACATCAGAACAGGATGAGAGGCATA